TCGCCGAACGGTCGGCGAGAATGTCGTGATCTACTCGCGCTCCCGATCGCGTTTCATGATCTGGCTGCCCCTCAGCGTCGCGGAGACCTTCGTGAGGACAGTCAAGAGCTGGCAGTTGCGAGGTCCGAGGAGTTAGATTGGTTGCATTGTTCCGTGTCTGGTCTCAACTTTCACTACCCTCGCAGTTGGGTCGATGCACCTCACGGCCCTCCGAGCGGCACCCAGCGCAAAGCCCTCCATTATCTTCCCTGTGAGGTCAGAGTACTTCGTGGGCAATGCGCTGGCCTGATCCCTGACATCGTTTGGGGCGCAGAGCTTGCTTCCGCCGCCACCTCCTACGACGGCGAGGTGGCGTTCCCTGCCGTGCCCCTGGACTATGATCTTCTACTCGAAGCGCTGACTCCTCGAGAGGTGTGCGCTGCCGTGCATGCCGTCGATGTGACAGAGGGCTGGATCAGAGCTGTCCCTTCCGATCCAGGTCTGTTCCCGAAGGACGAGTCAGAGCTTGGCAGCTTGTCCCCCGCTCCGAAGGTTTGGGCCTCGAACGAGGAGTGGGAGCTCATCACTGGCGACCTGCTCGAAAAGGGGACCCTCAAGACGATGGAGTACGAGGACATCGTAGAGGGCGACGCGCCGATGCTTCCCCACAGCGACAAGTGGAAGAGCGCGATCCTCAGGTCCGGGGAGGTGATGCTCTGGAGCGCAGAGGATCTGAAGTGTTACCTCTACGTGTACAGCCTCCGCGATGTGCGGCTGAAGGACATGGCCATCTCAAAGCCCGCGAGGAGATGCATCGCTGGCCCCCCAGGCAAGGGCATGATATGCCTGGCCGCCGCTGTCATGCCCATGGGATGGATATCGGCCACAAGGGTGATTCAGCACATTCATCGTCGTCTTCTGCGAGCTCGACATCATGAGCTACGGCAACTTCCAGCGTCGGAGGAGTTGCGCAAGGACGCTCGTATTTCTCCTGCTCGCAGAGGTGGCCTGAGCAATGCAGGAGTGGGTCCCGTCCGCGGTGAGGTCGAGCACACTTGCGATGACGACGGGTGGATGATCTATATCGGGCGCGGCTCCAGCTCACTGCAGCTAGCTCCGTCGAAGTGGGGCAACCCGTTCCGCATTCGGGGCGGTCTGGACAAGAACCAGGCCATCGAGCTGCTCGCAGAGCACCTGGAGAAGTCGCCCGACCTTCTGGCCGACTTATCTTCACTGAGTGGCGCTCGGCTGCTTTGTCACTGCAAGGAGCACCAGACCTGCCACGGCGATGTCCTGATCGCGAAGTGGTTGGAGCGCTTCAACGCGCCATCCCCCTGGAGGGCCTGGCAGGTGTACATCGTTAACTTGGAAGTGCTGGAAATCACCAACTGGTGGCGCGCCAAGGCCCTTCAGGAGGCGGGAATCAGCGAGGCTGTCGTTTTAGCCCATCGGAGGTATGAGTGTTTCAGCGTGCCGAGGAGCGAGAACAAGGCCGTCATCCGCGAGACAACGGCGCAGTCCCTCAGGGAGGCGATCGATCGGGATCGGGGCACCACCGGGCGCCCGCAGAGTTCGTGAGACGGCTGATCTCCCTCGCCCTGGCGACCTTGCAACGGCCCACAGTGACTCAGAAGTGGATGCAGATCCTGGCGGGCCGCTGGGTTCGGTGCCTTTTGTTGAGGCGCGAGGCGATGATGTGCGTCACTCACCTGTGGCGACTCTTGATGACGATGCTTGGTGATGTGAGGCTGCCACGTGGAGTGCGCGAGGAGCTGGTGTCGGCCTTGGCGTTGCTCCATTTGCTTCGCTGCGACCTGCGGGTGCCGATCAGCGGGTTGGTGACGGTCTCGGATGCCAGCATGCAGCGTGGCGCCGTGCGTCGAGCTGTTCGCCTTCGACCTGATGGAGTGGCCGCTGCGAGAGCGGCCAGCAGAAGGCTTGTGACTGACTTCCGCGACGAGGTGGTGCCCCTGTCCTTGTTCGACGGCATCGGTGGGGCTCGCCGCGCCCTGGACCTTCTAGGGATCACTCCCGCGCTGTTCTTATCCGCTGAGATCGACACCGAGGCGAAGCGGGTGACCAAGTATGCGTGGCCAGACGCACTGGAATCGGCGGCGTTCGATCCTTTGGGATCGCCGAGGGGGTGACCATCCGTAACGAGTTCCGTGTGTGAAGTGGATATTGGTGGTGGCCAATAGCCCTTGCAGCGACCTGGCCCGCATCAGTGTTAAGCGTGCTGGTCTTCAAGGGAAGCGTTCGCGCTGGTTTACGATATAGACCGCAATGTGTCCTTGCTACGCGAGACGCTGGGTGACTTCTGCACGGTCCTCTCCTAGGCTGAGAACGTGGCCTCGATGGATTCGATACCGCGACAGTTGTTGTCACAATCATTGGGATGCGAACCTGGGTTTATCTCAGCAGGTGATGTCACACGCTGTCAGCGTGGCCGTCTGTGGTGGATGAAGGAGGAGCTGTTGACGTCGTAGCAGGGCGAGACGTACTTCATGGACACGGTAAAGTACGTCGCGATCCCTGAAGGGCCTGGACCAGTTGAACATTGGCTGGCCGTGAGCTTCAGTGGCAGGATGACCTCCAGAGAGACTGCCGCCTGTCAAATGTTCTGCAATGTGTTCTTCGTCGTGCTGCAGGTCGGTTCCCTACAGGTCTCGACACATGTGCAGGTCATGAACTCGAACGTTGGCGCGAGTTCGACTACCGCTGCGCGCCCCTTTTTCAGGGCGCCAACTGCAGCAGGCTACCTGTCCAAGATCCCCTCCGTCAGGCAGGTGCGTGAGACTGGAGGTGGTGCCACCGTCGCCGTCGCCACCGTCAGCACGGACCAGGTCGATTGCGACGAGGGTGTCTTGGTGCGCCAGCAGGACCTCGAGAGCGAGGACGCCGCGCTGAACCCCAGCGTCATCATCGCGGAGGAGCTGGCCCGCAGAGCGGATGCCGAAAGCAGCGATATCAGGATCGACACATTCGAGGCGATGCGGCCTGACCTGCGGCCCATGCGACCAGTCATTGTGTCGCGCTGGACGCGCGGCGCTGCTGGTGCTCGGGTTTGCGGCCTTCTCGCGGACCACCGAGACGCTGACCTGAGACGCTGGCAGGTTGCCATCGACGAGGCTCACGCCAGACTCGTTGTAGCGTTGCAAATCGCAAAAAGTGGGTTGCAGTTTCATCGACAGGAGTCGATCGTGATTGAGGTTACCTCAGTGACACAGCTGATATCCTCTTGTTGCAACATAATTCGCCAGACCAGCTGACCCTGTCTCTTCGATGGGAAATTTCAGACGTGTATTCGAGCAGCTGTGCGCTGTCATCAATTGCCATCAGTTTCAATTCAAGCCATACAGTTCAACAAGAGGGGGGGCCACATCGCTCTTCCGTCGCACCCGTAACATGCCTGCCACTCTAGAGAGAAGACGATGGCAGGACACGGCGACGGCTCGCATATCTTTTACAGACGGCCAGCAGGCTCTCTCGGACTTGCGCGTTTCGCAGTCGACCCTCGATCGATAGGATTTTCTTGGGAGCCTGCTGGCCTACAATGTGGCCTCCCCCCCCTGCGGTGATTTCAAGGCGGTGAACCAGGTAGGGAGACGTGGAACAGCTCTTGTGTCCTCTCGGCCTCGTCTTGCCTCATCGTTGCGCCCGAGGTTTTCCTGGTGGCCGCTGGCGGCCGTATCGAGGGGCCCTGGTGTTCCGCGGAGGAGTCCTGGGACCATAGGCCTCGTTCGGCCTGGCCTCGCCCTGGGAAAAACTCGGCCGCGCGGTGCTGGCGGCGCTGGCGAGAGGCAACACGGGGCGGTGAGTTCAATGGGGCTCAGCCGCCCCGCTGGTGGGCCCTCGAGGCCCCGCTCGACAATGCCCTGGTGGAAGCGGTGTGGCACAAAACAAGAGGGGATCCCCAACAGTGAAAGAAACAGAAACCCATGTATCACATGTTGATTGTTTCGTCCTGTGGGGCCCCTCTCTCCTGTGCATGCGCCGCGATGCCGCCTCGCCGCAGGCTTTTTGTCTCCCACCCTCGGGCCACCCTTTCAGAGGGAAGAGCTCTTGGGTCCTCTCGGCCTCGTCTTGCCTCATCGTTGCGCCCGAGGTTTTCCTGGTGGCCGCTGGCGGCCGTTTCGAGGGGCCCTGGCGTTCCGCGGAGGAGTCCTGGGACCATAGGCCTCGTTCGGCCTGGCCTCGCCCTGGGAAAAACTCGGCCGCGCGGTGCTGGCGGCGCTGGCGAGAGGCAACACGGGGCGGTGAGTTCAATGGGGCTCAGCCGCCCCGCTGGTGGGCCCTCGAGGCCCCGCTCGACAATACCCTGGTGGAAGCGGCGTGGCACAAAACAAGAGGGGATCCCCAACAGTGACAGAAACATTGATATTATAATATTACATCGCGATCGCTATTGCGGACAATGCCGTCCATGTCAAGCGCGGCGAGTCTTGATACGCCCAGCGTCACGGATGAGCCGTCGAGATCTTAGATCACATTCCGAGACGCGTGTTTGCCGTCTGCGCTATTGATTTGCATGTTCTGGGGTCGGTTGCAGGCATGCGTTGCAACCAACGGCGCAAGAGCGCTATCACTTCAGCACGGGCCCGTGACATAGTTCAGTGCCACATGTTTGTTGTTCACTACCCCGTTTTTTCTTTGGACCCCTTCTTGGGTTGCCCTCGTTATCGTGACCCCATCACAGACTACGTTGCGTGGTACTCCGACAGTATTCGACGAGGAATCGTTACCAGCCTCGAACGTATCCCTATCCCTAAGATCGACACGCCAAAAGGCAATGACAATCTTAGGGGTTCGCCCTCAAAAAAAGGGGATCCCTAAGATTGGCATCGTGATGAGGAGGTGCCAAGCATAGGGATAGGGATATGCTCCAGGCTGGCAAAATCGGCACGAATGGTTGGCGCGATGCGACCGACGAAGCCCTGCACGGCCGCGCCTGGCGCCGCGCCTGCTCGTGGAGGTCCACAAACGAGCCGCCCGCGCCGTGCGCCCCGCGAGCGCCGGCGGAGGCGGAGCGCGACCGCGCGGAGGGCGAGGCGAGGGACGCCGAGGAGGACCTCCGCCACTGGCAGGCCTCCGGCGAGAGGGGGCCTGGCATCGCTCGGACGTGTGCATTGTTTCTTCGGCGAGGTCCATCGAGGAGCATCCTCAATCATTGGGCGAAAAAACCACGCACGAAACCGAAAAAAACACAGGGAATGGACGTCCGAGTGATGGCCAGCGGGGTGCAACGTTCTGGACGCCCGAGATGCAGGAGGGAAAGAATCACACAGATACGATGAAACGTCGATCCCCAGGAAAATATGGGAACATCTGGGAAGTGGGGGGGAAGACGAACACCCAGAAAATATTGGAAACTATCGGGAATCCTGTCATTTGTGTGTCTTTATTTGCGTTTTCCTGGGCCTCTTCAGAAAATGGGTACGGAAAGAATGGGTACATTGCCCAACAGCAGTTCCTGTTCATTTTGAGCAGGACTCGCTGGCCACGCCGCCGCGGCCTGTGTCCATTCGAGGCAGAAGGCTGCCTGCCCAACAGCGGCCGCTGTTGGTTTGGGACAACATTTATTGTTGGGCAGTGTACTCATTTTCTCCGCACCCATTTCGGGCGTCCAAAAACGTGACGCAAGGCGTTCTTGGGCGCCGCGGGCAGGAGTCGCAGAACCTGTTTGTTGCGTCGGCGGCTAGGCAGGGGTCGTCTGCGTCAGCGGGATGAGCTGAACGCGGGCGCCGCTGAAGCGAGTTGGCCAGCATGCAAGAGTGGGAAAACAGGACTGGAGAGGCGGCGGCAGAGTGGGGGGAGGGGCGAGGGCCAGTCAGGGGCGGACCATCCTCGATGTAGTGGATCGTAAATCTCCCGCGGCGGATCCAGGCCGTCTGCGAGTAGCTACGTTGCGAGTAGTGGAACGCGCTTGTCGAGTAGAAATGCTCCGAACTCCGCGCGGGTTTCTTGGATCGGTGCTGAGGCCCCCTTGGTGGCGCTTGTGGCGCCCCCATGGCGCATCCGCGCTGTCCTCCCAGACTTTTATGTTTGTGCAGCTCTTGTCCTTTTACAGCGAAGGCGATCATTGCCAAGACCTGCAACGTATTGGACTAAACGCGGCGGTAATTCGTCGCCATGATCGGCCTCCTCGGAGCCCTCGCCAGGTCCCCGGGCCGTCAGCAGGCGGCTGGGGATGAGAAGCCAGTCCACACTGAGGCGTCGGGATGCCTGGGGACCCCGTATGGAGAGCATCAAGACAGCGGATCTCTGGATAGGAGTCGGATCGAGGGATCGGACGTCTTCGTTCATCCTGGCGGATGTACAGTCTTGGGATGACCTCGAGCATCGAGCGCTGTGGGGTTGCCTGAACCGTCCCGAACGGCCACCAGAGACCCGAGTGATGACCCGACGGCCCGACCCGAAGCGGCCCTGGGAAAAGGGTCGGGACTTCGGGGGCCCGCACTTTGTCGCCCAGGTGAGCGACGAAAAATACATCGAGGTCGATTGCGCGGACATCCGCGCGTGCGTGTTCCACGCAAGGTCCCGCGTAAGCGATCTGTCTTCACGTGGTGTGCCGTGTTGGTGGCCTGTGTAATCCACCGCGTAAGGTCGCTGTGCCATCGTTCGTCGCTGTGGTGGCCTCGGAATGGCTTCGGACAGCCTCGGAATGGCCTCGGGCAGCCTCGTAACGACCTCGGACAGCCTCGGATGTCGAATCGGATGTGGCGCGGGTCCTCCGTATTTGAAGCAATTTGTTGTTTAGACTCGGGCAGGTTATTTTGCATGGATGGGGTGGGGAGGCCGGCGAGGCCCAGAACGAAATCTGGATTGGATTCCACGCGAGTCGGGATCCACTTGCACGCCTTTTCGGTCCAGCGCTGTTTGAGACGGCGGCAGATGTGGGGGCGGGGGGGCCTTGCAGGTAAACTTGGCAGCATCTATGATGGGCAATTTTCCACCACCACTACCATATGTAGGACGGGGGAGAAGGGCGGATGAGGAGGTCCTCCTCCTCTTCCTCCTCCTCCTTCTCATCCTCCTCCTCCTCCTCCTCCTCCTTCTCCTCCTCCTCCTCCTCCTCCTCCTCCTCCTCCTCCTCCTCCTCCTCCTCCTCCTCCTCCTCCCTCTCCGACACATAGTAGTGGAGGTGGGACAATGGCCCCTCGATCTGCTCGCAACAGCCGCTCTCTGTTTCGCGGTCCCGCCTTCCCTTCGGTCGGCCGGCCGCTGCCTCCGTGGTCGAACGGCTTGGGCTTCCCTCCCCCCCCCCGTGCCCGCGCGGAGGCGGTGCTGGACGCGGAGCAGGCAGAGAAGGCCCATGCGCTGAGGGGATGGGGCGAGCAGGAGGTGTCAGCATCGTTTAGCGACTCCCATCCCTCCCTCCTCCTCCTCCTCCTCCTCCTCCTCCTCCTCCTTCTCCCCCTCCTCCTTCTCCCCCTCCTCCTCCTCCTCTTCCTCCTCCTCCTCCTCCTCCTCCTGTTCCCTCTCTTGCACGCCGGCCAGTTCGCTTTTCGCTGCCCCCGACTAGCTCCTTCGCTGGTGCAGCAAGCTCTGCCTCGCCGCCGACGGGTAGAAGTGCACCGTGCTGCGCTGGCGTCTGCCGAGGCGTGGTCGATCCTCGGCCCAGGCTCAGTGTCGTTTAACCGACCCCCATCCCCATCCTCATCCCCTTCGAGACCCCCACCAAATTACCACCCCAGCTGGGGATACACCCCTCGAAACCCGGAGGTAACGGCCTACATTCCCATCCAGGGGGGTAAATCGGCCAGCGGGGCCCACACCACGCCGCTGGGGATGGGGGTCGGATAAACGATGCTCAAGGTGATCCTCCTCCTCCTCCGCCCGCCCTCGGCCCTCGCCGGTGGTTCCATCGGGCCTCGTCCGGTCCCCTCGCCGGCGGGGTCCCGCCTCGGTCCTTGGGCCCCTCACTTCCTGGTGAGGACACGTGAGCACGTGCAGAGTAAGCCATGCGTGAACGCGTGCACCTAGAGGGTAAGTGTCGGAGGTGGATAGGCCTCCTACCCTGACACGTCGATTAAGGAATTGGCCGTTTTCGGTTCGCGAGAGGGCATCGCGTCGCGGCCGTCATTTTTGCGGGTCCAGGTCCGTCGAATTCGTTCCCAGGCCGTTTTCATTAAGGGGATGTTTACTAAAGGGAGGCTTGTCCACCGCCAGAAGTGCGAGAGCATTTCCGCACATCATTGTTCCACAGCCATGTGTCGGCCAGTCCGTCTCTTCCAGCCGGCCTGCAGTTGCCCGAGTGAGACTGCCCGCCCCCGACTGTGGCTCCCTGGTGGAGCCCTCTCGCGGACGTCCGATCCGATCCGATTCGACTCGGGACTGAAAAATCGTGTCGGCGGAGATCTGGGACCCGATCCTCCCCACCCACCGTGCGCGGGCCCCTCCTCCGCCTTCCCCTGGTCCTCCTGCTTCTCCCGCTCCTTCCGCTCCACCTCCGGGCTGTTGCTGGTCGTCTTCGCCCGCCTCCTCCGTCCCTCAGTGGTCCCTGGAAACGACAGGGCAGTTTTTTTACCGGTTCCGTTTTTTCAGTTTTTGTTGCCGGTTCCGACGCCGTCGTTTTCTTACCGGTTCCGTCGCCGTTCTTTTACGGGTTCCCGCTCTGGTTCCAATCTTGGAGCCGTTTTTGTTGCCGTTTCCGGTCGCCGTTTTTTTGCCGTTTCCATTTTCAAGGGACGTTTGTTCGGAAACAGTGAAACACCGGCCCTGCCGTTTCCGGGGCCCACTAAGCTCCGTCCCTCCTCCTGCTCCCCCCCCTGCTCCTCCGCCGCCTCCCCCTCCAGTGCACGCAGCCCCCTCCTCTGCGCGCCACGCGGCGGGCAGCCCTCCTTGCAGCTCCCGCCACGGCGCGCACCGCCGGGTCCCGCCCCTCGCCCGCGCCGGCGGCGGGCGGCGCGCCGCTCCCCCCTCGGGGGTTGCTGGAGGTGCCCCTGGCCCCAGGTGCCCCCAGCTTCTCGCTCCACTTGGGAGCCCCTGTGGCCCTCTGGGCCTCGTGGGGGGTGCTCTGGAGGCCTTGGGGGCCTCCCTGGAAATCCTGGGGGGCACTTGGGGCAAGCTGGAACATATACAATACCAGTGGCGGTTTGTGTTTCCATCCCGGGACTTTTTGAGGGTCGGAGACGACGTCGTGGTGGTGTGGTGTATTCTTTTTCCCGTTATCCAAGGGAAACAACGACAAATGCATACACCAGGATCCCGTATACACCAGGATCGGCGTTCCTGGGAGCCCTTGTGGCCCTCTGGGCCTCGTGGGGGGAGCTTTGGAGGCCTTGGGTCTGCCCAACAGCGGATCGATCTGGTTCATTCTGAACAGGACTCGCTGTCCGCGCCGCCGCGGCCTGTGTCCATTCGAGACAGAGGGCCGCCCGCCCAACAGCGGCCACTGTTGGTTTGGGACAACAGCTGCTGTTGGGCACAGTACCCATTTTTTCCGTGCCCATCTCGGGCGTCCAAATTGGGAGCCTCCTTGGAAATCCCGGGGGCGTCTTGGGCCAGGGGCACTTCCAGCAGCACCCGCCTTTTCTTTCAAAGTAGCACAGGCCGGGAGGAGGAGGAGGAGGAGGCGGCGGCGGAGGGAGAAGGAGGAGGAGGGAGGAGGAGGGAGAGGCCCGAAGGAGGAGGAGGAGGAGGGAGAAGGAGGAGGAGGAGGAGGAGGAGGAGGAGGAGGAGGGAGGGAGGAGGAAGGAGGAGGAGGAGGAGGGAGAAGGAGGAGGAAGGAGGAGGAGGGAGGAGAAGGGGGCGCTTCTCCAGCAGCACCCGTGGCCCCCCCGGCGGCAGAGGCCCGCGTGCTGGCGGCGGCGCACCGCGCCCGGGTGGAGGCCGCGCCCCGGGGGGCGCCCCGCGCCGAGCGGCGCAGGGATCGGGGGCCCCAAACGGGGCGGTGACTTTTGCGGGCCCCGGAAAAGGCAGGGCCGTTTTTGCACCGTTTCCAAAACAATGTCTCTTGAACATGGAAACGGCAACAAAAACGGCGACTGGAAACGGCATGAAAACGGCTCCAGGACTGGAACCGGAGCCGGAACCGGTCAAAAAACGGCGACGGAACCGGTAAAAAAACGGCGTCGGAACCGGCAAAAAAACGGCAAAACGGAACCGGTAAAGAAACGGCCCTGTCGTTTCCAGGGCCCACGGTGACCACACCGTGCGGTGAGTCGGTGGGGATTCGGGGTCTCCGCACGGTTTTGGGGCTCGGGTCCCTCTGCGAGGACGTCTCGGGCGACGGGAGCCTCCGGGGTCCCAGGACCGTGCGGTGACAGACCGTGCGGTGCGGTTTTGGGGGGGTCTCAAGGTCACCGCACGGTGTGTCACCGCACCGTTTCGGGACTCCAGAGCGGGGAGGGGCCAAGACTCGACGGCGCAAGGGTTGCGAGGCAGATAGTTCAGTCGGGCATGTTCCTCTACAGAAGTCGGGGGCGGCAAGGAGGGGGGCGATGACTAGGGGGGGTGGATATCATGGTGGGCGTAATGATATCTCCCCAGATTTCACGGCGCCTCTTCTTATTTCAGTACGTCCCTGGCCCCCCCGCTGGGCCGCGCACATGCCGCCGGCCATCAATTGCACCCCCCCCTCTTTGACGCCCCTCTCTCGGCCGCTCCCGAAAGGGTTGCGGGGCAGATGTTCAGTCGGGCATGTCCCTCTACAGAGGGAAGGTTCAGAAATAGTAGAAAGTATGTTGTTGATTGTTGTCGGATATGTTTTGAGTCTGTTTTATTGCGCTGGCCGTTCGGCCTGTGCCGCCGACCTTGGAGGCATCGGCTCTCGAGGGAAACGGGGGGAGAGGGCGGGGAGGAGGAGGAGACGGAGGAGTGAAGGAGCCCAAGGACAGAATTTAACACCAGAGTGGCGTGTTAAATTCTGTCATCGTGTCGTCGGCGTCCGCGTCGACGTCGACGTCGTCGACGTCGCACCCGTCGTCGTTGTCGTCGTCCTTGTCGTTGCCGTCGGCACCGTGGCCTCCAGGACAGAATTTAACACGAGAGTGGCGTGTTAAATTCTGTCCTCGTGTCGGCGTCGTCGTCGTCGTCGTCGGCGTCGGCACGAGGACCCCCAGGATAGAATTTAACACGAGAGTGGCGTGTTAAATTCTGTCCTCGAGTTGTCGTCATCGTCCGCGTCGTCAGCACAAGGACCCCGAGAACAGAATATAACACGAGAGTGGCGTATTAAATTCTGGCCTCGTGTCGTCGTCGTCGTCGTCGTCGTCGTCGTCCGTCGTCCTCGTCGTCGTCGTCGTCGTTGTCGTCGTCGTCGCACACGTCGTCGCGACGACGACGCGTCGTCCTTGTCGTTGTCGTCGGCACAAGGACCCGAAGGACAGAATTTAACACGAGAGTGGCGTGTTAATTTCGTTTCGTTGTCCGTGGTCGTCGTCGTCGTCTTCGTCGTCGTCGACGTCGCACGCTTCGTCGTCGCCCTCGTCGTCGTCGTCGTCGTCGTCGGCACAAGGACCAGAAGGACAGAATTTAACACGAGAGTGGCGTGTTAAATTCTGTCCTCGAGTCGTCGTTGTCGTCGTCGACGTCGACGTCGTGGACGTCGCACTCGTCGTCGTCGTCGTTGTCCTTGTCGTCGCGTCGGCACTAGGGCCCCAAGGACAGAACTTAACACGAGAGTGGCGTTTCAAATTCTGTCCTCGTGTCGGCGGCGTCGTCGTCGACGTCGCACGCGTCGTCGTCGTCGTCGTCCTCGTCGTCGTCGTCGTCGTCGTCGTCGTCGTCGTCGGCATACAGACCCGAAGGACAGAATTGAACACGAGAGTGGCGTGTTAATTTGAGATTCCTCTTGGAACGTCTGATGGGCATCTCAGGTGCCTCTGTCCCTCGCTACCCCCCTCGCTACCCCGCCTCGCTACCCCCTCCCGGGACCCCCCCGCCCCCTCGCGCGGGGAACGGAAGAAAGGGAAGGGGCTTGCTTTTGATTCAGAGGCGACATTGCGAATCCGGGACGGCGATGTATCTGACCGAGAAGCCCCAGGAGGGCGGCGTATCTGACCCAGGACCCCCCTCGCTAACCCCCCTCGCTACCCCCCCTCGCTACTCCTCCGGGACCCTCCCCCCCGCGCGGGGAAGGAAAGAAAGTGAAGGGTGTTCCCTCTGACCGAGGATCCCCAGGAGGGCGGCGAATATGTTTTGAGTCTGTTTTATTTTCCGTCCAGTATCCTCCTGTAGGGGGACATGCCCGACCTGAGCAGATGGCTCGGTCGCGGGCATGGTTTCTCGGTGAGGGCCATCGAGGGTCATCAGGAATAGTCTTAGGGGAAAACAGACACGCACCAAGCCGAAGAGTGCACGGGGAGTGAACGTCCGAGCGATGGCAAGCCGAGGGACAGGGGCCTGGTAGGAAGCGATCCATCGAGACGAGCGAGATGTCCTTAGGACCCCACCCCTCGGGACCCCATCTTTGAACCACCGAAAGACGGGGGGGAGCCAAGAGGTGATGCTGATGATCCTGTCCAATGTTTCTAAGGTTTGTCCAGCATTCCCCGGCTGGTCCCAATGTCCCACACGGGCTTCAGAAACGAGGGCCTCGGCATCGATCGCGCGGGGTGCGGCAAGAAAGGGGGGTGGGAGTACGAGATAATGGTACAGTCAAGACTGATGGGTGGAAGCCGACCCCAGCACTGGCAAACTGGTTTTTGAAAGGCAACCATGCCGCATTGTGGTGCAGATCATGGCCGTCGGTGCCTGCGCCGATGAAAAGCCGCGCGGCGCCGCGGGCTACGCGCCCCTGCGGCGCGCACGGCCTGCGGCGGGCAGTCTCGATGCCCAGCTGTGTTCTGAGGGTGAGGGGAAGGGCCCTGGATCAAGTCGGGCCTGTCCCTCTACAGAGAGAATATTCAAAGGTAGTTAAACAAAGTGTTAGAGGGACGATTCTTTGACGATGTTTGACAATTTTGGAATACTTGTTGACGATTTTCTTTCTATTTCGTCCAGAATCCGTCTGTAGGGGGACATGCCCGACCTGAGCCTTGGAGCCTCGCCCTTGCACCCGGGCCACCCACCGCGCAGCGCTGCCCTCCCGCAGACCAGTCTGGATCAGTGGCGTTCTCCCTGAGGTACTTGGTCCACTACAAAAATAGTCCCTGTTGGGCCTGATGTGAATCACGTTTGTTGTTCATAAAAACTGTCTGGGGCGTTCCTGCTCGCGACTCCTTGCTTGAAGCTAACTTATATGTATTTTACATCGAGCTTATGTATCCGTTGTTGGCTTGGTGTCTAAAGTTGATCCTCGGGGGCGCAGCCCGCATGCGTCCCAGCCACATTCCGGCACACCCCTCACATTTTCGTAGCCCCACAGGAAGGAGATCCACCGAAGGCCCCAGTGTCGCAGTCCGCATGCGTCCCAGCCACCCATATGGGCACACTCATCACATGTTTCGTGACCCCAAAGAGAGCTCTACCGAAGGCCCCAGTGGCGCAGCCCGCATGCGTCCCGGCCACCCATGTAAGCACACCACGCGTTTGGTTGCCCCACGAAAACCTCTACCGAAGGTCCCAGTGGCGCAGCCCGCATGCGTCCCAGGCATCCATTTCGGCACACCCCTCACACGCTTGGTGGCCCCAAGGGGGGCTCCACCGAAGGCCCCAGTGCCGCAGTCCGTAGCGTCCTAGCCCCCCTGACACGCTTCGAGGCTCCCTTGGAGCTCCACCGAAGGCCCAAGCAGCGCGGCCCGCACTCGTCCCAACCACTCGTGTCGGCGCACACCTCACAAGTTTCGTGGCCCCACAGGGAGCTCCACCAGAGGCCCCAGTGGCGCAGTGCGCATGCTTCCCAGTCCCACATTTCGGCACCCCGCTCATACGCTTCGTGGCCCCACAGGGAGCTCCACCGAAGGCCCCAGTGGCGCAGTCCGCGTGCGTCCCGGCCCCGCATTTCGGCACACCCCTCATAGATTTCGTGGCCTCATAGGGAGCTCCACCGAAGGCCACAGTGGTGCAGTCCGCGGGCGTCCCAGCTCCACATTTCGGCACACGCCTCATAGATTTCGTGGTCTCACAGGGAGCTCCACAGAAAGCCACAGTGGCGCAGTCCGCGTGCGTCCCAGCCCCGCACTTCGGCACGCGCCTCATACGTTTCGTGGCCTCCAAGGGAGCTCCACAGAAAGCCACAGTGGCGCAGCCCGCGGGCGTCCCAGCCGCCCATTTCGGCACACCGCCCACGCGTTTGGTGGTGCCATGTGGGGCTCTCCTCGGCACACACACACACACACCTGAGACGCGCCGCGGCCCCATGAAGACTACGGTTACGCTGGCAGCGCTCGCGTGGCGGCCTCCCATGTTGGCCCCGGGAGGAGATCCGCCGAAGGCGATACTCACGAAAACGGTTTCCACACCTGTTTCGCGCCGCGCGGATCCCTCGGTTTCCGAACCCTCGGGGCTTTTGCCCGGCCCCCCCAGGCCGCCACACAACGACTCAGAAAGAAACGTCGGCGTTGGGTAAAGATCGGGGGCGGCAAAGAGGGGGGTGGATATCATGGCGGGGGCCATGATATCATGGCGGGGGCCCTGATGTCATGACTACGGATGGGTGGATATCATGGCGGGGGCCATGATAGCTCCCCAGATTTCATGGCGCCCCTTCCTATTTCATCACGTTCATGGCCCCCCCGCTGGGCCGCGCACGTGCCGCCGGTGATGATTTGCACCCCCCCCTCTTGGACACCCCCCTCTTCGCCGCTCCCGAAAAGAGTAGGTCGAGAATTCTTGAGACGTCGAGTGTATGGGAGTGCGACAGGAAGGGGTGGAAGAGGATGAGAAGGATGATACTGAAGACTAGGGAAGAGGGGACAGATGATGTGGCCGAGGAGGAGGAGGAGGA